TGGGATGCATTCGTGCACTTTGCAGATGAGACTCAACCAGGTCGAGACAACTGTCCAGTGCTTCTAAGCTTTCTATCTTACGTCTCATTTTGCACGACGAATTCAGCATCATCATTCGAATGCATGGCGCCATTGCATTCCTGTAACAAAGACTTTGCCACTTTCTACTTCTTAGCTTTGAAAGTTGCGTGCTGAAGAAAACGGTTGATGCGAATCATACGAGTACAATCTGAAATGATGAATTTACCATGGTTTCACGTGAAGTTCGTACAATTTGACGGATGTGATTTTTAAAGCACTGAAGGTATAGAATGTCTTTAACTTTGCAGTGCATTTTGTGTCGAAATTGGCTCGCTTAGTGCGCGCGCGCACAACATCGTTATGGTATTGACAGACCAAGTGGCAAAAACTACAGATCGATATTGGCGCTTCATTGATTGTTCAAATGTATGGATAATTCAAAGTGAAACTGGGTAAGAGAGGGAGAACAAATCATGAGAGCTTAAATGTGAGTTAACGTCAGCGAAAGCGGATTACATGACACAATCATTCAGTTTTCGTTTGATATTTTGAACCACAATCGATTACATCATCATATCGTCGGGCCATGGTAAACATCAATATATGAATGATCCACTTTTGTATGCACAGTTCGAGGTGGTCGATTCGAATAGCTATCACCTTGGCCATGTAAAGTATAATTTGCCTCAGTTGTGTGTAGGCAGATTTATCAGGGTTCTTTGGATGACCACAAATGATCTTTCAAAATCTACCAATGTCTCGTGCTGGTCAGATGCTCCCGAATTGACCTTCGTATGACCTTTATTAGCTCTTTTCTCAACTAGGCCGGATGATGATCTTGAATCCGTTTGTTCAACTACTTACCGCAGAAGGCTTCTATCCCAGTTTATTTTATAAATCATAACTTTTCTTACTAACCTGTAATCGTATATAATAATGTAGAAGGTTGAGAATGAATAGCGAGAAGAATTTCTCAATGCAATGATCTTTTCAAAGAGTGAAGAGCAGCAAAAGCCTCCAAGTAATCTATTATCTCAATTTTAATAGTTTTATTGTTACACAATAATTTTCTTGACAGTCACGACAATTTTGCAGTTTGTACTGTACATAGTCACAGCATTGATGACGGTTACTTCGTTTTAAACCAGTCCGCTACTAAGCCCTTTTGGGGATAGTGCTCTTGGTGAGATTGGTCATGTACGTGTTTCAATGTGTACAGCTTGTCAGAAGTTTGAAATTACTTTGACCATTCATCAATCAACGGATTAGTTAGCCAAAATATCGAGATCAGACCATGAGAATGACCGGAGCATTGATTACGTGTCCGTAACTTTGATTGTGTGAATAGGCATGGCAATCCTCACCACCTATCAAAACTTGCTCTAGAAAATTCACTCACACACTTTAACATACTTTAACATATGCGAAACGTTCACACCTAGTTCAATCGATCAACGGGGAATTGGGTGGCTCACCTTTAGCAGGACTTCAACACGCTCATCTCGACCGGAAACTTCTTTGATCAATAAACGATGCCGTCGTATGAGCTGGTTCACGGCCAACAACGATCGACCAACATCTTGGTTACTGGCTACGGTAATTCGCTCACGGATCCAGATCTGTTCATCTTCCAAATCGCTGCGTTTGTCAAAATTTGGGTTTGGGAGAGTTAGGTGAATGGAAGAAATAGAGATATATGTATGCACATATACATATACAAATAAATGAAACTGGTTGGAACAGATAACTTCTACACCGGATAAACATGCAAACTCTAACTGTACCTTTGAAACTGCAAGGGGAATCCGTTGTAACTTCAAGTGATTCCAATCAATCACACGCCATGGAAACCCCGACAAGATGATTGGTATTTTGACCGTCAAATGTCACCGATTGGACCGGGTCTGTCTAAACCCCCCGTCCAATCTGAATGAATTAACTTCTCGGTAAGCAAACAAAAGTACTTTTTGAGTGAGTTAACGAGCGAGGATGAAAGATTCAATGGGGTGAGGTGGGCTGTATCCGTCCCACACACACACACACACACACACACACACACACACCCGTTCCACCCGGGAACGTTAGTTCCTCATTGTTGATCCAGTGTGCGTCACAGATACGAATGAATGAACCCGAAGTTAATTGACCTCTGTCGGTCGGGAAAGGAAGAGAATTACGTCAAAATGGATCGATAAGTCAGTGACCATGCTCAGATGTGAATGTGAGCATGATTCATTGCATGAGTGGAGTCAGTCTAAGCCCTCAATAACCCAATGAGTAAATTCCACTGAGGTCGAGATTCTCTCGAATAAAACTTGGAATCAAATGTGATTGCTTACGTATGTCTGACATTCAAATGCACACTTGACAAGATACTTAACAATGGTAATAATGGTGAAAGAAATAACAGTATTTCACCTGAATGGCAAGATTAAATTCAAACATATTCACTAGCAAACAGAAATCATATTTTTCTGTCATTCCCTGGCTGATTATCGCATTCAATTCACAATGTCAATGGCACCAATCTGTTACCTCAGGCTTCTCCCTTCTTTAATCAGCTTCATCGCATAGGTTCTTATATTTATTGTATCATTGCTCAACCCGTTGCATCTTTTCATATACTGGTCACATCTGTGCGATCATTTATAATTTAGTGAATGAGACAGGCGGTGATATGAATGAGTTACAGTTATCCGTGATCACACGAGCGATGATAATTCTGTACTGGGTCGGTAGAATAATTTACCCACGGTCGTCGTAATACTGGATGTCGAGTACGAGAAGAGGTTCAGCGGCACCGCGGATGCCACTTTACAGTATGTTTCCCAAATGTGTTACCACGAAAGATTGTGTAAACGAGCTACCTATAATAAAGGTGGAAAGCAGTGACATTGTTCTGCTCTAAGCTTAACTGGGCGGTTGTGTAGATATTAAACATTATTGCTCAACTTCTTTGTAGTCACTGGCGTCTTCCGAACTATATTCACTCCGCTTTGAACCAGCTCGGTTTGTAGAAAATAGTGCATTTTTCACAGATAAACTTGCCGGTTTTTATTTTAGCGGATTAAGGCGATTGATTTGTTCGCACGATTACGGAAAACTCAAACGTGATGCGTTCAGCCTGGCCAATAGTGATTTGTCATCTTTCCTCTATATGGCGATTGTGAAAAGTTCAGTAGACTCGTTGGAACTCGAACCCACGCATGGAGGCCACCTAAGCTTCGTACGTGCAAACCCTACCAGCTGATGAGTTACGAGGCCACAACGGTGGCACTGATCTTTTCATATTCGAATTACCGGTCGAACAGCGAAAGGTCGAAACAGAGCGGTCGGCTTTCCGCACCAGATACACAGACGATTCAGTAAGTGTGTGAATTGAAGTATGAGTTTTGATCATTCACTGCCATCTGACACCGTTTAATCGAATACAAGGGCAAATCAATGGCAGCTGAATTTTTCAACATTGCATTTCCAGCCTAGTGAACAGCACCAGGGGTCATGCATAATTTATGTCCAGGAAAAAAGCTTTTGGGTAAAACTGCAGTCCTACTACTACTATTACTATTACTATTACTAATACTACTACTACTACTACTACTACTACTACTACTACTACTACTACTACTACTACTACTACTGAATTGTAAACAGTTCGGTAGACTCGATCAGATTAGAAACACGCGTAGTTACCGCTTGAGACAGTGCACACATACCAGTTGAGCGCCAAGTGTGACCTCCGGAACTCCGTTCACAAAGCGGATACCACAAAGAGGAGTAAACAGCAAGTAAGCATGGGCTTAGGACACACAACTCGTTTGTCGAATTATTTACCCTCATATCTAGTAGCTACTGTGAACAATCAAGAGTTGCGTCTCAGCACAGATACCCCTTCGAGGGTTGGAAATGGTCCAACTGAACGA